TCTCCCAGTTCTGGTGCCTTAATCATTTATTATTTTTATTTATTTATTTATTTAAACTTATTGACTGCTCAACTTCAGTGAACTCTGGGCAGTATAGAAAACTACACTACACCAGACTGGCTAATATATAGACCAGGGTAAATGACTCTTGTCACGAACTCACTAGATTGGATGAGATAAGCCTTTATTTCTCAGACTACCCTGTAAAGCAGGACTAAAAATTGAGCTCTTGTAAGAAATGCTTTGATTTCTCTTTAGGTATTGTGAGGATTACTCTACGTATGTGCATCTCCACAGCAATTCAATTAAAAATTATGTCAAGGTATTGTCTGTTTAGAATTAGAAATATGATCTTCTATGGAAAGGAGAATATAAACAGAGATGATCTCCATCTAGGATAGTTTTTCCTTGGTGTTTTGTCTCATGAACATGTAGACATGGCTCCTTGCATGATATACATGTACAGCTAATATGAGATGCTCAATCTCCATCTTTGTAGGTTGACTACAACACTAACATGTAATCGGCAAGCAGAAAACAGGCTTACATCTTCAAGATGATGTTCTAAACGATGTTGCTAGAGGCATGATTCACCACCATTACAAATCCAGAAAAGAAGTGAACCATTACCAGGTGTAAATGCTTAAAAACTGGAAGTTGGAAATGCCTTTTCCTGGAGACTCAACTTTGGAGCAACTGAGAACTGATTGTGGCTGAGAAGCTTTTGTTCTGGATTTTTGAGCACTGATTCTTCTAATTCTCCTGAGAAAATATTTCATGCATTAAAAAAGAATCCCTCTCAGGTACTGGAACTTGTTGCTATCCCTGCTCTTGGGATAAGGATTTTCCATTCAGTCTGCCACTGGATTTGGTGAGAAAACTGGGCATTTACAGCATGTTTTCGCCTTTGTGATGGTCCTGATCAATAAGGAAAGGCAGAACATGTCCCTTACAGAAGCATCTACTCTCCATGTTTGTTTGTTCCTTCCTTCCTTCTTAGACTGGAATTTTAATAGCAGGTCTTAGAAAGTAAGTTTTTCAGAGTTTGAATTTCTTTGGTCACGCTTGGATACGTTACTTAATACAGAGGAAGGAGTTTTACCCCACATACTTTGTATGAAGTATTCCTAATATTTCCAGTTAGAAGTATCAGATAGCAAACAATAAGAAAGTTGAAGACCTGTGATTAAGATCCTGGATAATCAGCATAAATCAAGGTCAATAATTCTGGTAAACAAGGTAAACAAGACCTCTGGTTGTCTATGGAGATTCTCAGTCAACCAGGTCATGGTTGTCCCAAGAGACAACTGGACTTTCTGGTTTTTCTTTGAAGACGTTTCACTTCTCATCCAAGAAGCTTCTTCAGAACATCTTGGATGAGAAGCGAAACGTCTTCAAAGAAAAACCAGAAAGTCCAGTTGCCTCTTGAAAAAGCACCTTTGGGAAGACCTCTGCTTCTTCTTTTACTAAAATTGCTTGTTTTCAGTAGACTTGGTTATTGAGACAATGCATAGGAAACAGGAAGTGGAACTTTTATTGCAAATTGTTAAGAAACAAAGTATGTATGAATTCTGAAGTCATTATTATTTCTGGGAGGAAAAAGCAGGCATTGAACTCAAAAGATCTGGCCTGAGAAAGGTTTTGGGGGTAGGTATCCTATTAACATGAATTAAATGTTTGTACAGGTCAGCTCTGCGAATATCAAAATGCAGCAACTGTCTCCAGAAGCAGATGTCGTGAGGTGAGGCTGCAAGGGGTTAGAGAATTCTGAATTACATAACCTGCCCTGAAACATTAAGCCAATATTCAAAGACAAATTCCTTGTGTGTCCAATCACACTTGGCCAATAAAGAATTCTGTTCTGTTCTGTTCTGTTCTGTTCTGTTCTGTTCTTTAGGCCAATCATCAGGCCAGAATCCACAATGTTCAGATATATCCTCATTGACCTAACCATTTTATCAGCATATACAGTATGCAGTATTTGACTCTTACATTTCATGTACTATTGTTTCTCATGCTTTGAATAAATATCCCCCTTTTCTTTGTTTGTTTGTTTGGAATTTAACATTGAAACATATGTCTTGTGGCCTGTCTACACTCAAAATAAATATCTGTTTACTGGAATTGTAGTATTTTGATAATTTTGTCAAGGTGGCTCCTATAGTCTCCTTTGACATTGAATAGTATATGTTATGACAAGAGATATAAATAAACTATTTTTTAAATTTTAAAGTTGAAGTGGGGGTGAGCACAGCAGGCAGGAGAAGTGTGAGGCCCTTGCCTGCTACTGGCATGGTCCTGGCCTAACTACCCCAGCTGAGACTACCAGAACAGCCATCACTAAGTGATATGGTCACGTGATGTTTTACCTAATGGGTCTTTCACTTAGCAACGGAAATCCTTGTGCCAGTTATGATAATTAAGCACAGACTACCTGCACTGAATATATATTAAGGGAAGATGAACTGAAGGATGTTTCTGGTTTTAAAATTGGAGGAAGGAACATCAATAATAATAATTTTATTATCATTGTACGTGTATACACAGTATACCCATACAACAAAATTCACTTAACACCCAAAGACCAGGCCCAACACACATAACAATCCCCACCCACACTCCCACCCACAAATAAACTGCACTATGCTGATTGCATTGTTTCGTTGGCCAAAAACTCAAAGGATCTGCAAGCTCCTGAATTAAAATTAAATTAAAAAAAGAACCTACCTAATGACAACAGGTAGAGTAACCACCCTCAAAGTTGGCAATGAAGAGACTACAGTAGTGTAGCTTCTGCCTTCTGCCTTTTAGGACCAACCATCAACAATAAAGGAACAAGCTGTCAACAAATATGCTGCAGACTAATATTTGGTACGGTACTATACAACAGCCATGAAGACCTTAGAAAAGGTATTCAAATATGATGTTTCTATACCAACAACAATAAGAATAGTACTACTCATGATAGTCCCTGAGACATTCTGTGGAAGCAAAAGTTCCACAGAGTTGAAATAGCAAGATAGGAAAAGCAATGATATCTTTGAACATTGGTGTTGGAGAAGACGTCTGAGAATACTATAGAGAGCCCCCCCCCCAAAAAAACCCACCCAATCAAATGGCTCATCAGTCAAATCAATCCAGAGTTCTCACTCAAAGAATAAATGACGTGGCTCAAATTATCCTATTTTTAGACACATTATGTGAAGATCCAGATATCTGAAAAAGGCTCTGATGCTGGAAAGGGTGGAAGGGAAGGGAAGAAGAGGATGAATAGCAGCAAGATGGATGGACTCAGATACAGTGGCAATGGGTCAGGGGTGGGTTCTACTTACCTTTACTACCAGTTCGCATCATGCCCGTGCATGCGCAGATCACTTCTGATGACGTCCAGGTCAGTGGGCGGAGCCTCCTCTCGGTTTTACTACCGGTTCTTGCGAACTGGTCTTAACCAGGGGCAACCCACCACTGCAATGGGTGCAATGTGAAAAGATGTGAAAAGACAGATCCTTGTGGAGAAAATGTATGTGGTTGCTAGAATCAAAAACTACTTGATGGCACTTAATCAATCCAAACACAACTGTTTCCTAAAGTTGAGGCTTAAGAATATTCAGTCTTACAAGAGTCTTATTTCTGATCATTACATAAAAAGCCACAACTCATCTAAAATATGAATAGGAATTGGCAGAAGAAAGAAAACCATCACCCTCTAGTGTACAACTGCAGAAAGGACAGATACTTTCAAAAAATTATTCTAGGAATAGATGCATTCATCATTCAGAATAACAGAGTTGGAAGAGACCTTGGAGGTCTTCTAGTCCAACCCCTGCTCAAGCAGAAGACCCTATACCATTTGCAAAGGTATAGAATAGGTGGTATCTGGTTTAACAGTAGTACATAACTATGTTAGGAATCTAGGAGTCCTAGCGGACAACCAAATAAATATGAGTCAGCCTTGTGCTGCAAAAAAGGAAAATGCATTCTTAGGTTGCATCAACAGAGAAATACTATCAAGAGCACGTGAAGTATTAGCACACCCCAGATAAAGTAACCCGGTTTATTTAATCTATGCATATAAATGACAAGGAAGAATATATTTTTTAATTTTTTTAAAAAATAATAGAAAATATAGTCTGGGCTAGCAAAAGTGAGCAATCCAGAGGTGGGTTTCAGCAGGTTCTGACCAGTTCTGGAGAACCAGTAGCGGAAATTTTGAGTAGTTCGGAGAACCAGTAGTAAAAATTCTGACTGGCCCCTCCCCCATCTATTCCCTGCCTCCCAAGTCCCAGCTCATCGGGAGGAAATGGGGATTTTGCAGTAACCTTCCCCTGGAGTGAGATGGGAATGGAGATTTTACGGTATCCTTCCCCTGCCACACCCACCAAGACACAACCACAGAACCGGTAGTAAAAAAATTTGAAACCCACCACTGGAGCAATCATGTCTTTGCTGACCTTGGGGTTTTTTTGGGGGGGGGGATTTTAGCAATAGCGTTATCCTAGATTTCATCTGATTTAACATTGGATCCACTTTGCTTTTCTCATTCAAAATGTCAACGATCTCATTGGGTCACCACGGTCAGGAGGAGCTACAGCACGATAGAATTATAGCCATTCGCAGACTTGCGCTTCTTCTTTTTTCTTTTTTTTTTTAATTCTTAGGGGGAATGATCTTGGCAGTGCCTTGGTAGAGCTGCAAGTATTCGGAAGACTACGGTACTAGATGATGTAGCCAGGAAAAGACACACAGAGAAAGCCGGGTTAAGGACCGCTTTTCCAGCGCAAAGCAGGGAACCAACCTCGCAGTCCTTAGCACAAGAGGCTTCAAGGGACCACCGCGCCCCCCCCCCCCACTCGCGCTTGCGCCTCCCTGTAACAGAGGTCTTCAAACTTGGCCACTTTAAGACTTGTGGACTTCAACTCCCAGAATTCTCCAGCCGGCCTAGCATAGCATAGCTGGCTGGAGAATTCTGGGAATTGAAGTCCACAAGTCTTAAAGCGGCCAAGTTTGAAGACCTCTGCGTGACGGTAACTCAAGCAGCACGCAGGCGCAGTTGTCGGCCTTCCTGTCAGGGGCAAGATGGCGGCGGGGTCGGTGTACCGGGCTCTGGGCTCTGTTGCTAGCCGGGCTCTCCTTCGGGGCTCCTGCGCACCGGTGAGTCGGTGCCCGGTTGGCTCCTGGCAAAGGGGCGACGGGGATACCTTGGGGGTGGGGGAAGCAAACGGATCGGAGAAGGCGGCGGAGTCCGCCAGGCTCTGCCTCGCCTCCTTCCCCGTCCGCGAAGGTCACAGCAAGGAAAGGCCGGTCGGTGGAAACGCTTCCTCGGTCCAGTCCGAATTACGGGCGCAATCAAATAAAATAAAACAAAATATTTACGCCCTTTGAGCCTCGTCCCGACCATTCTGCTCCGTCTTTATCCTTTTGGGCGGTATTGCAGCGAGCCTTTCATTAACGTCTCTATGGAGATCCTCAAGTCATCCAGGTCATGGTTTTGTCCCAAAGATGCTTTTGGGACCAGATTTTCAGTCCACGTTTTAGTTTTTCCGTGGACCGAGCAGATTGCGGTAAATGAGAGCCACTAAACCAGGGTTCTCCAACCTTGGCAACTTTAAGACTTGTGGACTTCAACTCCCAGAATTCCTCAGCCAGCTTTGCTGGCTGAGGAATTCTGGGAGTTGAAGTCCACAAGTCTTAAAGTTGCCAAGGTTGGAGAACCCTGGACTAGACAGACGCCGAGTTGCTCAGCCCTCCATCTCTTCCATCCCTGAGTGAGCCCTGCCTAAGGATGAAGCCCACCTCCTTCCCTCGCCAGCATGTTGGGCTGCTTGTTTTGACAGCTGAGGAGTAGTGGCAGTGCCCGGAGAGCCTGGGCGAAACCTTGTTTCCAAATGTTGAAAGGGTGCAGTTTTCGGCCCCTTAGCCAGCACATCAGCTCTTCACCGTTATTGTTCATTTATATTCTAGCCATGGAATAGTAATATTAAACCCAGGCTGTGAAAATCAGGATGACAGCAGTTCAAATCTAGTAAGGCTGTTGGGGATATAAGAAAGACAAGGGGAAAGGGCTTTCTATGAAAGTTTTTAACTTTCAAGGAAGTTTCTGTTGTCTGTACAGTTATGGAATGATTTTTTTTTTTTTTGCTTTAATTTATATGCCGTCCTTCTCCGGAGACTCAGGGCAGCTTACAATGCGTTAAGCAATAGCCCTCATACTTTTGTATATTTATACAAAGTCAGCTTATTGCCCCCACAATCTGGGTCCTCATTTCACCTACCTTTGAAAGGATGGAAGGCTGAGTCAACCTTGAGCCTGGTGAGATTTGAACTTGCAGTTTTAAGTTTCTTGCATTTTAAGTTTCTTGCTGGTGTTTTACGATTCCAAGAATATGAAAATAAAACCTCAAGTGGGTGAATTGGACGTAGGATGAAACAGCCAAGGGGTTTGTTATCTCTGAGTATCTTAACGCTAATGTTTCTCTGTATGCCGCCTTATTTTGTTCTGCTGCTGAATTCAGGCCTAATTGCCACATATGTCTGGCTAAAGACCTATTTGAACAGATAAAGTAAGTAGAAATTTAGTAGTAGCAATAGCAATATTGGTGGAAACTAATCAAGGAGAGAAGCAACTTAGAACTAAGAAGAAATTTCCTGACAGTTAGAACAATTAATCAGTGGAACAACTTGCCTCCAGAAGTTGTGAATACTCCAACACTGGAAGTTTTTAAGAAGATGTTGGATAACCATTTGTCTGAAGTGATGTAGGGTTTCCTGCCCAAACGGGGTTGGACTAGAAGACCTCCAAGGTCCCTTCCAACTCTGTTATTCTATATTCAATAGCACTTAGACTCATATACCACTTTACAGTGCTTTACAGCCCTCTCTAAGCAGTTTACAGAGTCAACCTATTCAACAATCAACCCAACAATCTGGGTCCTCATTTTATCGACCTCGGAAGGATGGAAGGCTGAGTCAACTTTGAGTTGTTGAGATTCAAACTGCCAAACTACTAGTAGCCGGCATTCAGCAATAGCAAAAGTAATGGATGATAATAAAATCTCTGCCCCTTTCAATTCAGCCTTTACTTGTCAGACAGTTCTGTCTGGAAAAAGTTGCAGCTACTATCAAAAACTATTAAGGAATATATGATTTGAAAATTGTAATATATATCTTTTAAGAATCTTTGAACTGTTTGTACTGTACACAACATACAACATGTTGTAAGGTATAATCTATGTTTGGTTTTGAATCCACCCAAGGTGGCTTTAGTCATTCAAATGAATGAAAGAGCATGGTTTTAGCACATTGTATGAACCCAAATTCAGCGATATAGGCTTTGTTAATATTTTAGCCTACATTAGAGCCCTAGGCTTAATTGCTTTGTGACTATTTTATTTGGAAAGTATCTGAGCAATTATGTCAAAAATCTGAAATGTACAAATTTGTTTATTGGTTATTGTTCATATTTTATTTTTGTGTCAATTTGGAAATAGAGATCTTTGTTTTGAAAGCATTACATTTAGTAAATATTCTTGTATTAAATTGAATGATTATGTAAATTATTCTGCATTGTAAAATGAATTTCATTTTGGTTTGCTTCAGAAGGATATCTACTAAAATTATTTTCCAATTGTCTCTTGTTCATCAGAGAAAAATACAAGATTGTGTTCAAATATTCATTAATTTTCTTCCCAAAGTAATTCTAAATAATTTTGACTTTTTAGTATAATTGCAGTTTATTGGATAGCTTCTGAAGTCTCATATATTTGTGTGCTATTAATGTTTAGTTAATGTATTCCTTTTCCATAGAAAAAACCTTTTCTTACTCTTTCGATTTGTGTCATAACTTGCACATAAGACACTGTAGTTAGAATATATAATCCCAGAATAAAATATAATTTGTTATAGATATTCTATAATTTTAATACGTATGTTTGTTCTTTTATATTGTATTAATTAATAAACATTTTTTTAGAGATCCTTGCAGGGCTTGGTGAAAAGAGGAAGTACTGCAACCTATGCTAATGTCCTATCCAATCTCCCTGAAACAGAAGTTACTACTTTAGACAATGGCTTACGAATAGCATCAGAAAAGTCAAACCACCCTACATGTACAGTAAGTTTTAATTTAGTTTTTTTTAAAAAAAAAAATGTTGGAATTCCTGTTTTTTCAATTGGGTCTATACTCAATTCAGGCTTGATATTTTTAATGGAAGGAATCTAGTAAAACCTTTAAAAGGTATAAATTTTCTTAAGCTGCAGCACACTTCATAGAGTGGCTAGACTGATTACATTTACATATTTCCAATAGAAAGTAACTTTCCCTAAAATCAACTTAATAAATAGCAGACTCCAAAGTGAGTCTTTTATTGCTTCCAAGCTATTCGGAGAAATATAATCTATACTTCTTATTCCAGAGAAGTCAGAGATTCCATAGCAGAAAAGCCAAGATAGCAGGCAGCAGACCATTTTTGAAATATGGTCACTATCACTATGTGGGGTTTTGGGAGTTCTCTGAGCTTGGTTGTTATCCTGCAGATGGCTATCATTTCTGCTTTTACTTTTTTAATATCTAACAAGTGAGCATACTCTAGAATTAATTTTCAATTCAGATAGAGCAGTTACAAAGCTCAACTGGACTTGCAATTGCATGTTGTGAATTGTATGCTTTAGATTACTTTGAAATTTCTGTTGGCACAGATCTTCGGCAGAATTGATTACTTCAATGAAGGAATTTCAGTGTATCAAAATTTCCAATATTTTATTGGAAATTCTGTTGTGTGGTAATCATGAACATATTATTATGAAGCTTAATAAATTGCTATTGAAATTGAACTTGGAGAATGAGTATGTGAAGCTTTGTATTATTCAGTGGGCAGAGAATTTTGGATATAACATGATGCTTGAGCAATGAGAAAACATATTTTTCTATGTGGACAGGTTTAACATTTACATTAGTAACATTTAAATAACATTTAAACTGCTTATTCTAATGCTATTAGAATTAGAATTCTAATAGATTCTAATTGTCAAGAATCTATAAAGATACTTCAAATGAATGTTGGAAATGTAAATGTAACGAAGGAACTTTTTACCATTTATGGTGGACAAGTAATAAAGCAAAGAAATACTGTGTAGGATTCACATCTTGATACAGAAGATTCTCAAAGTGAATATAAAGATAAAACTTTTCTTTTTTGCTTAATGGATAAAGAACTTGAAAAAAATGGAACTTTGATGTTATATATGCTGATAGCAGAAATCTTTGACTAAAAAAACACTGTCTTAGTATTGACACATGCAGTTTCTATATTTCTAGCCAAATTTATTTATTTATTTATTTATTTATTTATTTATTTATTTATTTATTTATTTATTTATTTATTTATTTATTTATTTATTTATTTATTTATTTATTTATTGGTTCGATTTATATGCCGCCCTTTTCCGGAGACTCAGGGCAGCTTACAATGCATTAAGCAATAGCCTTCATACTTTTGTATATACCTGCTTAGTAGGGCTTTCGCCCTACCGCCCAAGTGGTGTTCTTTTTTATACAAAGTCAGCTTATTGCCCCCATAAACCGGGTCCTCATTTATTTATTTAATTTTTTTTTATTTTGATTTATATGCCACCCTTCTCCGGAACTCAGGGCGGCTTACAAGGCGTTAAGCAATAGCCTTCATACTTTTGTATATTTTATACAAAGTCAGCTTATTGCCCCCACAAACCGGGTCCTCATTTTATCTACCTTAGAAAGGATGGAAAGCTGAGTCAACCTTGAGCCTGGTGAGATTTGAACTTGCAGTAATTTCAGGCAGCTGGTGTTACTTAACAATGTTTTAGTCTGTTGTGCCACCAAATTAAGGAAAGTTACTTAAATTGCAAGATATATAGGACAATAGGGATGTAAGGATGATTATTCTCTGTGCAGTTGAAGCTCTTGTTTTCAACAGTCTATTATAATTCATTCAATTTGTATACCTACCCATCTCAAGTGACTCTGGTCATCAAACAAAATAAAAACAAGCAATGGTACAAAAATTAAAATACAATATCAGGTTACAATATCCTTTAAAGCTGCCCTGATATTTAATATATTTAATCAATTCTTTTTTTAATCAGGTTGGAGTATGGATTAACGTAGGAAGTCGTTATGAAACTGAGAAGAATAATGGAGTGGGGAACTTTATGGAACACCTGGCATTCAAGGTGAGCTGCAATATGATTGAGTTGTACTGCTTCCTACATGTGTGTGGCCTACTGCTCTGAATCCAGAGAAACTTTAAAAGGGTTTCCATATTTCAGAAACAAACTTTTAGTCATTATTATGTTACTTTCCAGTCTGATTTAAATTTATTTAGGGCACTTTTATTCCTAAGAAATTTTGCTGTGTGGAGTCTTGATGCTGTCTGAACTTGGTGGTTTTCTTGTAGACATTTTGTTACCAAACTAAGTAACATCAGTGCACTTGAATGCCGTGATACCATGAAATTTAAAAGTATGTCTTTCTAACAAGTCGAATTATATTTAAATGAAAAAGATTAAGGAACAAATACTACTATATAGATATATTATTTGTTCAGCTTACATTTTTTAAAAAATATAAAGGAACTAAAATTCTTGTATCATTTTCAGCTAACAAAAATGATTATATCAAATAGGATTCATCATATGCAAGAATTGAAAGAAAATAGAGATACTGTAAAAGAGTATCTAATCCATGTAGTCTCTTGGAGTCAACAACTGATTTGAAGGCTCTATATAAAAGATAGTTCTAGCATCCTTTACCAAATATAGTTCATTCTGAGTTTTGGTCTTTCTGACTTCATCTGCGCAAGAACATAAACCTGCCATAGCAAATCAGGACTGTAGAATCGTGTCCCTTCACTTCTGCTTCTTAAGAATACAGTAGATGCATTTAGAAAAGTTTTCATTTCTTCTTGTTTTCTGCTCAATCTAGTTATGCCACCTGGTTGTAATACTTGTTAGGGATGTCTTCTTGAACTTCCTGCCAAACTGATATTCCTCTCCCTATTTTCTCAGTGAGGAAGTTCATTAGCTTGCTGGGACATCTTATTAGCTGAAAACCAGAATTTTGATTCTTTGAATTTGTCTATTAGGATGAATGTAAGACCATATGCTGCCTCACTTAAACCAGAGCTTGTATTGTAACTTAATTGATGTGGCCATAGACCTTATAGAAAGAAAATCCTTGCGATAATATGAACTTCATAAATACTGAAGTTGCTGCAAACACTAAACACAGCATTGATTGTTGATGTTTTATTAGGGCACAAGTAAATACCCTTATGCCCAATTTGAAAAAGAAGTGGAAGGCATTGGTGCACATCTTGACAGCTACTACTCCCGTGAAAAGACAGCCTTTTACATGAAAATTTTACCCAAAGATTTGCCCAAAGGTAATGTAAATTGTCTATGAGTTTGACAAAATTGCTTCGTTTGCATGTTTGCTTTCATTGAACAATAGTAGTGATACTATTATCCTCTTCCATTACTATTGTTATTCTCTTGCATCAATAGTAATAATAATTTATACTTTCTCAGCAATTGGCATCTGAAGCAAAGGAGATGGGTGATTGAAGTTAAAAGTAAAAGATTTGCAGAAGAAGTAAACAATTAATAGTCTAGGAGAGGAATTCATTTATAGAGGAGATACAAAAGGATTGGCATTGGCTGTGCCTTGCAATGCCATAAATTGCTTTCTAATTTAGGGGAGGGGGAGCGTTTCTCATCCCGGAATGTCGTGGTAACTTTTTAATTTATTTCGACTTGATGATTCAAATAGCATGTCTTTTTTAGCAATTGAGATTCTGGCTGAAATAACACAGAACTGCAGCTTGGAAGATTCTCAGATTGAGAAGGAGCGGAACGTCATCCTTCAGGAGATGAAAGAATCCGATTCTTGTCTGTCTGCTGTCCTCTTTGATTATCTTCATGCTTCAGCTTATCAAGGCACACCTTTGGCCCAAACAGCTGAAGGAACAACAGCAAATATAAAGTGAGTTGAACAGAAGTGACATGATTAAGACACACAGATTTCAGTCAGTTAACTGAAATAAAGAGTGAGATAAATACGAGTCTTATTTAAGTTGCAGATGTCTAAACAACAGTGATCAAATACCTTTGCACAGAAAAATAACAGCCATTTATCTTAATTGCTACAATATACATTAGGGAAACTGAGTGTTGGAGTTATAGTTAAAGAGTCTATACCAGGGATGGTGAACCTATGATATACATGCCAAAGGTGATACACCACTACTTTTTGGATGATCAGCCAACATTTACCAACAACTGAGAACAATGATTCTCAAAAGAACATTCTGTTCTCACACCATTGTCTGGGAAGCTCTGGGCCATGGGGCAATTGCACCAATTTCCAAGGCTTGAACCCCTTGGGGAACAGCATAAGGTGGCCTGTTTGAGTGGCACCGGTGGCACTAGGACAACTGGAGGTCCAAGAGTCAAGTTAGGCATATTTTAAATTTTTGACATGCCAAACCTGAAAGGTTTGCCTTCATTGCTCTAGAAGTATCAAGTCAGCTCTACCTGGTGCAATCATTGTGATACACGTCTGAAATACACAGTTCTACTTGCTTACTGCTTTTTTTGGGGGGGGGGGGAGGGCTTCCAAGGAAATATCTCTTAGTAGTTAATATAAATGGGTATGTGTTCTGTGTATTCAAAAAAATTGTCTACATAAACTGTGACTGGTGGGGGTGGGGAAGTTGATTGAAAAGGGAAAAAAAACAGTGACAGTTTGATTTTTAAAAAAATCTAGAACAGAATTCAAAATATTTATTTTTAATTTATTTTATTTTTTAAAAATAGTTTTATTAAACTTTTGGGAGAAGCCTGTAATTGAAAAAGAAGATTAGTAGAATCCTGGTGTTTCATGATATACATGCACGTAACATATGCTATACACACACATATATTAATCACAGACCATTTAGAATACATAGCAGAAAAAAGAGTTGGCAAGGTTGCTTCTATATGGTATAAAGCTATAACAGTATCTACTTGTTCTGTGAAGCCTCCTCCCAGAAGGTAACAAAGAAAACTGGTCATGGAGAGGATGTGTAGCATCCCAGACCCTGGTCAAGCATCGCTTATATGCAGTGGTGGGATTCAATTTTTTTAACAACAGGTTCTGTGGGTGTGGCTTAGTTGGGGGTGTGGCTTGGCAATCATGTGACTAGGTGGGCGTGGCTAGCTGGTCACGTGACTGTAGACATGGCTAGCTCATCATGTGACCGGGTGGGCATGGCTATGTGCATAGGGACTACTCAGAGGGCTGAAAAAAGTCATTTCTGACTGGGCCTCGCACTTTTGACCGGTCCTCACACTTATGACCATCCTCACATTTATGCCCGTGCAGCTTTCTTAACAACCATGTCACTCATTTCACAACTGCTTCTCTTCACCATGGTGACAAGATAGGGCAAAAACGTAAAATGTGAGGACAGTTGTAAGTTCGAGGACTGATCAAAAGTGCGAGGACCAGTCAAAAATAACTTTTTCAGCCCTCTGAGTAGTCCATATGCACAAAAGGACTACCCAGAAGGCTGAAAAAAGTGATTTCTGACAGGTCCTCGCACTTTTGACTGGTCTTCGCACTTATGACTGGTCATCATTTATGCCCATTGTAGCATTCTTAACAACCATGTCACTCATTTCACAACTGCTTCTCTTCACCATGGTGACAAGATAGGGCAAAAACATAAAATGTGAGGACAGTCGTAAGTTCGAGGACTGGTCAAAAGTGTGAGGACCAGTCAGAAATAACTTTTTCAGCCCTCTGAGTAGTCCATATGCATAAAAGGATACAGCAATAGAGAGGGATGAAGGAAGGGAAGGGAAATTAGAGTAGGAGGGAGGGTAAGAGAGGGAGGAAGAGAGGAGGAGAAGGAGAAAGGAAGAGGAAGTAGGGAGGAGAAGAAGAGGGGGAGGAAGAGAAAGTAAGGAAAGAAAAGAGAGAGGTGGTAGGTTTGAGGAGAAAGATTGCTGTACAATAAAAAAGATGAAAGGGAAGAAAGCCAACCCCAAACAAATATAAAGATATTAAGATAAAGAATGAATTGTTAAACTTTAAAGAATAAAAGAACAAATATGAATAAATAACAATAATTAGAAACACACATACAAACATACAATGTATTTTCTTTGAACAGAGTATTTGGCCGGTTCACAAATTTAAAAGTGTTTAGTCATTTCAATTAAATTTACAATTTCTATATTTCCTTTTTGCCACATTTATTCCTCATCTATTTTTATAAAAAACCAATATTACCCTTCATCCTCATCTCTAATCTTAATCAAATTCAATTTTTCCCTTCTATTCTATATTATACCCCTTCCCATTGTCATCTATTTTTATATCCATCCTCACATTGGTTAATTATGTAATATTACAGTTGTTTAATATAAATTCAACATTTTAAAATAAGTCAATTAGTTATATAACTACCTTTTTTGTATATTAATCAATATGAACATGAATATTCCAATTATTTCTATGCAATCCAATTTCTTACAAATCAATTAATTATATTTACCAATAATAATAAACCAAATAATTTCCCCCATATATTCCTCCAAACCACAACTTAACCATTTCTGCTTTCAGAAATATACAATTAATAGTATCTCAATTATTACAATTCCCTAGTTAAATAGAGCTTTTTTTCTTTTGTGTTTTAAAATCTTGAACTCTCCTCTTTTTCCCTAAATTTCCCATTGTTTGCACTTACCTTTTTTGGTGAGGAAAAAGAAAAGAATTCTGCCTGCCTAATTTTCCAACCTTGCAGCAACAGCAAAGCAGTTTCAGTTTCGTGTTTCAGCAGAGCTAAGGGAAAAAAAAATTGCTCCAGGACTCTTTGCAAGGAAGCAGCAGAGCCCTGAGCAAAACAGCTGAGACAAATCAGCTGAGAGTCGGGAGGCCGATAGAATCAAGGGGCTAATTAGCCTATGCTGAAGCTCCGTGGGCCAATAAAATTACAAAAAAACACCGAACCGTTCGTTAAATTGCTGGCTCGCCTGCCCCTCGTCCACCACTATTTATTGGCAATAAATAGTGGTGCGGAGGGGCGGGGCAAGCCAGCAATTTAACAAACGGTTCAGCTGCACCACTGGCTATAGGGTGGCCCTTTGAAGCCCCGCGGCAAGAATTTGAACAGTTTTTTTTCCTCTAGCCATCAGCTGGGACTCCGGAGGCAGCAATAGATTGGGAGTGGGCGGGGTAGGCGAACAGCCAGCGATCCAACAGAGCAGAGAGTGAGGGTGAGTGAAGGCGTGGAAGCTGCTTTCTCCATCCTGCTCTCTTGCGTCCGGAGCCGGTGGGGAACCACGTGGCAGCTCACGTAGATCCCGGGCAGCGGAACTCAGGCTAGGGAAGGGGTGGGCAATTGTGGCTCTTTTACAACCTGTGGCCTTCAACTCCCAGAATTCCTGAGATAGCCAAGCTGTCTCAGGAATTCTGGAAGTTGAAGTCCACAGGTTGTAAAAGAGCCACAATTGCCTACCCCTGGCTAGGGTAGACTGGCGCCGCGCGGATGGGAGGCAGGGCGGGGCGAGGGGCGGGCGAGCCAGCAATTTAACAAATGGTTCGGTGTGCTGCAGGGCCAATAAATTACAAAAAAACACCGAACCGTTTGTTAAATTGCTAGCTCGCTCGCCCCATTTATTGAAATAAATAGTAGTGCGGAGGGGCGGGGCAAGGGGCGAGCCAGCAATTTAACAAAGGGTTCGGCCGAACCCCCTAGAACCCCCAGAATCCCACCACTGCTTATATGCCATGTCATGGTGGAAGGTAGTGTCTTAATTTAAATCCAATGTATTAGATCTTATGCTAATACCCATACGGCTAAGGCATGATTATAAAATATTGGCTGTGGATAACTTATACGTGCACATATATTAATTACTCAGATTTCATGTAGATCTGTGGAGATGTCTGGTGTTGGCCGGTCAACATATGTATGATCAAATTCTGAGAGGATACATGAGGAAGACATTCTAACTTTGTTTTAAATAATTCTGTGGTTTTTTTTAACTCACTTAGTATTTCTGAAATTAGTTCAGTATTATCCTCATACTGAATACTGAAGTTGGTATAAAACAAAAAATACACCTGGTTGCTTATGTTTCTAAGACACGTTTAAGGAGAAAAATCCTATCGAGGCAAAAAGCTAGCTGAACATAAAAAAAAGCAAACCATGGTAAATCCAACATTAGAAGCAACATAATGCAAGGTTGAAACCTTTCCCAAATCATAAAATAAACTGCAGTTCCAGCTGCTACCTTGGACAGAAGGGCAAGATGGCACATAAAGCTACTGTGTCTTTTTCAGCCTGCACAGATGCAGAGCAATCCAAAGAAGACAGTTGGTGTGAAGAGCCCTCTTGGACATTTGAAAGGATTTATTTTACCCGTTTGATTTCAACATGGTGCCCAGCCCTAGATTATACTAAATAACACATGTTTAAAAAAATGAAAAGACAGTATGTTTCTAAGCTCATAGATGCCATATTCAACACAACACCATGCTTTTTACAAATTGTAAATTATGAAAAGTATTTTTTATTTCTTCTAGGAAATTGACTCGTGCAGATATAACAGAATACATGGGAAATCATATCAAAGCACCTCGCATGGTCCTGGTAGCTGCTGGAGGTTAGTGTAAGATGGTCTTCTTTTAATCTCATCTTTTATAAATAGGTTCTAATTGTCAAGGTTCCAAGTAATACATCCCATTCAATAAGAATTCCGAGGCAGGCATATTCCTCAAAGAACATTTTGATTGGGACATACCAAATCGGCATAGTCTTGGTGGAAAATCAGCTGTATGTTTCCGCTGGTTTTACACCCAGTTAAAAGTAAAACTTTTGTCACTTCTCACCAGTCACCAGTCACATGGTCCAATCAGCATGTAGTCCAGCATGTAGCTAGGTGATCACAGTCTCCACCTTTTGAACACCTGCACCAACATCCTTGATTCCCAGGAGAAAGAATTTTATTTTGGCTACAACACTTCAGCTATCTCTACACCCGCCCCCCTCCCTGGCCCCTTCACTCCAGGCTGTGTCAGCCCTGAAGCAGCGAGAAAAGAAAGTCACTGGAGAAAAGCTACAAAAAGAAAATGGCCACAGTTCGGCCAACTTCAGGGTTGATACTAATGTTATAGGAGTGTAATCATGACTATATGATACAAGCAAAGACCATCATGTTTAGGATAGTGAAGTACATTGAGTCAGATCAACTCTTGTTAAACCAAAGGGAATATGCACATTTCTATTGTGGCGAAAGCAAAAGACTGGAAAAGTTGGGGATGGCCATCTCTGGGGGATGGGCTGTGCTAAGGGGAGCGGCCTCTCCCTCTACCACTGATACCTTTGGCTTTTTCACTGTTCTCTCCCTTCTCTGCCCCACCCCCCGATAATTTCTATCCAGAATATCTTTATTCTGTGCGTGAACCAAAATGCTCTACTGAGGAACCCCAAATGATGGACTGAAATTATAGGAAGGCAGAAAAAAGAATTCTATCACTAGGAACAGACAATAGAACCAAGGGGTTGGTGGTGGCTTATTCTCCAAGCTTGTTTAGTTTCCAAACAAGCTCGGAGAAGAAAACCACCACCAACATCTACCACCCGAGCTACAAATATTTCCCACCATTTCTAATAGAACCAAGAGCCCAGTATAGAGAGCCACAGAGTTGACCTTGAGAAACTATGCAGAAATAATTATAGAAAAAAACACGTTAAGCCCAAGAAACAGAAAGAATGCGAAAGAAGCTCAGGCTGCATGTACCCTTATTTGCTGGGATATAAGAGGGAGAGGAGGGAAAATTACAGACTTTTAAGATTCTGCTACAACTGCCTGTAGCCACGGTCTAACATGTAGCGTCTGTTAAAGGATTGTCATCCAGAGAAATTTCACTGGGTATGTTCAAAAAAAGTCATAAGTGGGGATGTTTTAATTTTATATCAATTTGGAGAATAGTTTTGCAGCTGTTTAGCAAAGATTTCTCTTTTAGCAGCCCCTGTTGGAAGAAACAATATTCATATTCATTAATATTCATATTGCCTTATTTTTTAATAGATGTTGGTCATACAGAACTGGTGGATCTTGCCCAGCAGCATTTTGGCAGTGTTTCTTTTAAGTACAAAGCTGATACCATGCCTGTTTTGTCCCAAAGTCGTTTCAGCGGGAGTCAGGTAAGAGTCTTCCTGGCCTGGCATTATCATAAAATAAAATGTACATGGAAATAATGCAGTATAAATTCTATTTAGATCACTTTTTATTAAAGTGGCTTCTTGAATGTGAATATGCTGATGATGCCCAGGTATACATCTCCACCCTGGGCTGACCAAGCAATGCCACTGAGGTGCTTTCCCAGTGCCTGGAGGCTGTGAAGGTCTGAATGGGAAGAAAGGCTTTGGCTCAACCCTGACAAGACTGATTTGCTGTGGATTTTAATGATTTCCTGCTCTGGATATTTTCTATCCTTAAGTCTGCCTGGAATGACAGATCTTGTTTGATGAGCCTGTGACAGTCACTACTGTGTTCCTTACCCCATGGTGACTATTTCTTTAGTCATCTCCCATTTTGATTAATGTAATGCCCTCTATATGGGACTGCCCAGAATGCAGTGGCAAAGAAAGTAGGCTTCTGAATATTAATTCATGGTGATGCTTATCACCTATAGGCTTATCATCCATAACAGTCCCGGGCCATAGCCCACTATCAGGCCTTGAGCCCTTTGGAACCAGGTCGCAGAAGTGCTGGTTGAGCACACACATATGCATCCCCACTCACAGCCGTGGGCGCTCCATTTGCGCAAGCGGTGCCCCCGTGGCCCCGCTCCTTGCACAGAACCATCCCCTCTCTCTTCCCCCATTCTGGTCTGCAAAGCTGGAAAATGTGGGGAAGTCTGATCTATATTCTACTTGGCATAGGCCAGGCTCTTTGTGGCACCAGCTCTTCCATTGTTTTTGCTTGGCCCACCAGATCTATCAGAGTATGCTGTGGAGCTTCCCTATTAAACAGTGTCATCTTTTTGGACCCCTCTACAGTCGTGCCCATAGTATTATATACCATAATTAAATGGTAGTGAAGAGCTTCCCTCTGGCAATTCTGATGGCCCTTACCCTATCTCCCCCCTCCTCCCCCACAAGTCTTTTGGCCAGAAAATTAAGCAAGCTCTGCTGCTGATGTAGGTTTTTGTCATTGAGGTATATTGCTTTAGCTTGTGCATCATGGTTTAATGATTGTAGCTGTTAGTTTAATTCTTGTACACAGCCCAGAATCACTGTTGTGAGATGAGCGGCCATATAAATCATTTAAATAAATGTGTATCTGCCCTTGAATATTTTCCTCTCATAGTATAACTATTTTTAGCAACTCAACACTTCCATGCGAAGTAGCTACTTATTTTACATCTGAAATACATTTAATGTTGAAGCAGGTTAAGGTATTAGTATTGGCCCTTTCTTTATGTTCAGTTCTTCACTTAAATTCCTTGCCTACTTTTCTTGGCTATCACAGCAGTAACAAGGCTGAATGTTCATGTTTATCACAGCCACTCTCGAGTTCTCAATGCAAGATTCACAAATTTTTAAAAAGTGGGATGAAAATATTTTAAAAATAAAACATGAATTCTGTTTTGGTTTTGGTTTAATAGATAAAAGGGGAAATGTTATCTTTTTGCAAAATGATATGACTGGGCTTTTTTTTTCTCTTTTCTTGCTTCATACCCTTTTTAGGTCACAGTCAGAGATGATGAGTTACCTTTGGCTCATGTCGCTTTCGCAGTGGAGGGGCCTGGCTGGGGTAGCCCAGACAACCTTGTCCTTCTGTTAATTAATTCAATCATAGGACGCTACGACTTTACCTTTGGTGGAAGTAAGGTAAGGCACTGTGATTGGCATGTTCGTTTTGATTATCACTATCAATGTTGACACTTAGCAGCCACATAGTTAGATTTTCTCCATGACAATCTGTCCCTAATCTGGTCCTTCAAGTCTTCTGTAGTGCACCCATCTCCATTGTAACTAAATCCATCCGTCTTGCTCTTGATCATCCTCTTCTTCTCTTATCTACCACCTTTCCCTGCATTAGAGCCTTTTCCGGAAAGCTGGGTTTTTGCGTAATGTGTCCTAAGTACCTGATATTTTGTGCCTTGAGTGAGAACTCTTGAGTTGACTTGTATGATGATCCATTTCTTGACCGTGCCTGAAATTTTCAGGAATTTTTGCCAACATGGAGAATTCCTTGTTCGAACTTCCCACAAGCCATTTTGGTTATCTACTGCTGATTTAATTTCCCTAATGTTACAGATGAATGGCATAGCTAATATTCTGGTTTAAGTAAAGTCCCTTTTTGCATTCAGTTTATTTTTGCTAGGAATTCAATTTTGTTGGACAGGTGCTAATTTGCATTATGGTATCTGAATTCTGTGGCAAGGATTTTTTCGTGTCGAGTTTAAGAAATTCTCTAATGACTTTGTTAGGCTTCCGTTACTTGTCTGGCTTAGGTGATTAATGTACTGATGAAACTGAATAACAGCTATTTCAAGGTTAATGACTGTGAATGAATACTTTGTTGGTTATCAGTTATGTCTGCATTTTTGCATAGTAAATTATAACCATCTGTTTATAGAATCTGTATAGCAGAATGGCTGCTGATTTTGCTGAGCATGACCTCTGTCGAAGTTTCCAGACCTTCAACATTTCCTACTCTGATACAGGACTTTTTGGTTTTTATTTTGTCACTGATTGTTTCAATATTTTACACTCAAGTGATTGGGGAAGATACGAATGGTAAGGATGGTTTCATTTCTATTATGTTATTTTTATTTTGTAAGAAAACAGTACTATATGGGGCTGCAAATAGACTTCAGGAAATAGCTCTCCAAGGATTAATGAAAAAATATTTGCAAATGGGAAAATAAAGTAGAAGCAAAATAATCTCAAAACCTGTACTGAAAGTTTCTAGTGTGAGATAGTGTATTACAGCTTCTACATTAGAATCTAGTTGTATTTATTATGCCTCTACAGAGAGTTTTCGTTTAAATATTAGCTCATGTGTATACTACTCTTTCTGTTTCATTTGTCTATACCTTTGTCCTGTGATGATCTTCTTTCAGCTTTAATGTAGAACAGGGGTGTCAAACTCATCTGCGGGGTGCTTAAATCTGGCCCAGAGGGCCAGCCTGGAAATAGCAAAGGACCAGCCTGCAGTGCATCTGGCAGCCAAAACAGGACACCGGGAGGGGGGGGGGCGTCTGCTGCCCCCTGTGGCCCGTTTTGGCTGGCAGGTTGCTTCAGGAGGCATCTGTCCCCTCTCTTTCCCCACCCCTCCCCCAGCCGGCCCACAGAGGAGAAGTACAATGCTGATCCATCCATTGAAGAAATACAGTTTGACACCCCTGATGTAGAATAACAAACCTGATTTCCTTGCTATCAACAAGCATAAGTTTTCTAAAATGGAAGAGAATTGTCATTTAAAGATGTATTACATTTGATTAATATCGTTCTTCAATTCTGCTGCTTGTACAGGATGCGCATTTGCACTGATTTGCCCGAACACGACTTGGAGAGAGGCAAAAAAGTTCTTCGAAGGAACTTGGTGGCCCAACTGGATGGTATGTCTCTTAACGCAGTTTCAATTTTAACACCTCCTGAGCAGGTTTTTCTTTCTTTCTTTTTCTTTTTTTGCTTTAATTTATATGCCACCCTTCTCCGGAGACTCAGGGCGGCTTACAATGCGTTAAGCAATAGCCTTCATCCTTTTGTATAAAGGATGAAGGCTATTGCTTAACGCATTGTAAGCCGCCCTGATTTATACAAAATCAGTTTATTGCCCCCACAATCTGGGTCCTCATTTTACCTACCTTTGAAAGGATGGAAGGCTGAGTCAACCTTGAGCCTGATGAGATTTGAACTTGCAGTAATTGCAAGCAGCAGATGTTAATAACAGTGCTTTAGTCCACTGTACTACAGGCTCTTTTCTTGTGAAAAGTGTAATGAAAGTAACATTTTTCCTGAATTCCTCTCTATTTCAAATGTTTGCTAGTCTTTCTTCTGTGCTATCCAGCATATTCTAGCGTCTAAATTCACCATTCTGCAGATGGAACATGAAGATAGATCTGCAAGCCCTTACCCCACAGGTCTCTTTATTTTCTTTGAGTTGTGTAACTTTCTGTTCCTTTTGGCTTTATAGAAGGCACCTGTCAGTCTCTCTGGAAAATTTGTAGTCTACCATCCACTATAAAGAGTATTACCTTATTAGCTCCAAGCAATCAGGAAGTTTATCAAAAAACAGAAACTGCATATTCAGAAGCATACTTTGTTTTTTAGATGATACATAAATGTTACCAAAGCCATTGTTTTAGAAGACACACACCCTTCTATGAAACACTGTTTCTGAAGATGATCTTGCTATCTTCAGTTTCTATTGTTTGTACTTTATATGGTTTTATGTTTGTATATAAATATAGATGCACACACAGTGAAACCGCTTTTTGCACACTACTTGGACAAAGGATAACACTATTCTCAAGTGTTCCAAAATATATAAGCATGTCATTGTATAACAATGTATATAACAATGTGACTACACAAATAATGCAAACATGTCTCATTTACTACATCTAATCTCATTTGCATGACTTTCCAGAAATGATGTAATTTGTGGTGAAATGACATGTAATGATATAAACCATTGCAAATGTTACAAACTTAAGGCAAAAGTAGTGTCAGTCAACTTCCAACTTCCTCATTTAAACACTTTGGATGCAGCAGATCAATTCATTATTTCAGGTGGGATGTCTGGACTGAACCTGGTTGCACTTAAAGTTAGGAATTAATGCTACACATAGATGCCATGAGTTTGTACCTGGCTGAAATTTCTGAATGAATAATATAACAATTCCTCTCAAAAGCAACCCACTTAATGTCATGCAAAGTGCTTTTAATTGAAGAAATGCAATCTAAATATGGTGAATTATCATGTTTCCCTGAAAATAAGGCCCGGTCATATTTTCTTTTAGGCCCCAAAATAAGCACCAGGTCTTACTTTCAGGTGATGTCTTACCCGCTTAGGACCGCTGCAGCCAGGCGTCCCATGCCCCGACACCTGTCTCGCCACTACCCGACTTCTTCTGTGGCCACTCACGGCCAGATGCCACATGGCACATCACACTGGTGCCGCTGCTCACGGCCAGACATCGCATGGCTTGTTGCGCTGATACCACTCACAAGCGGCCACAGAAGTCGGGCAGCAGCACAACAAGTGTCAGAGCATGGGACGTCTGGCTGCGGCGGTCCTAAAGTAAGGGTGCGGGGCACATGGGGCAGTTCCGCCCTAGCTTGATTTTTATGCATGCACCTCGCCCTACCTCGCACTACCAGATGGTAGGACAGAGAGGGCAAGGTCTTAATTAGGGCTTATTTTGGGGGTAGGGCTTATATTAGGCGCACGTAAAAATCAAGCTAGGTCTTATTTTCGGTGAAGCACGGTAGTATGTGAAGGTAAACTAGATTGTCTATTTTTTACAGAGGTCTATGCTATTGCAAAACTATTTAGAACAATTGCTCAGTTATTTCTGGAATGGATATAACCCAATACAAACAGTCTTCAGTTACACAGAATAAAACTAAACTTCCAGAAATCAAAGTTCTTAGCCTTCTTAAATCATTTACAGAACAGCACACAACAAGAAATCATTCCTGTATTAATCTATAACTCTGTAGTTGTGTAATATCTTCATAAAGACCAATCAGTATCATATAGAATAGTATTAGAATTCATGAAAATGTAGGAGTGCACACACAAGCTTTTGGATTGAATATTTATCAAGCAAATTGTTACAAAATTAGGAAAAAAACAAGGAAGTCTAAACTTACTATTTTAGCAATGAAATTAAATCTCCAAATGGAAAATATAATAATAGTAACAATAATAGTAACAAAACAACAATAATAATAAGAGAAGGTGAAGATCTTGTGCGACTTTCGAATACAGATGAATCGTCATTTAGAACACAACATGCCAGATATCACAGTTGTCGAAAACCAAAGCATACAATTTACTGATAGTGCTTTACTAGAAGATGCCAGAGTCAAAGAAAGAAAGAACTAGAAAAAAATAATGAACTATCACGACCTGACCATCGAAACGACGCGATTATGGATGAAACATGTAACAGTGATACTCATTGTCATCGGAGCACTTGACACCATGTCCAAGAATTTTACAAAATACATCAAGAAATTACAGCTTCCTACAATAACACCAGTGAAACTGCAAAAATCTGTGCTACTCAGAACATCATACATTTTAAGAAGATACTTGATCGATACCTAGGATGCTGGCAGCAACCTATATCAACCATCAGTGCCAGTCAATAATATTTGTGATATACCTTTAAATGTTCAGTTGACTGAGTTTCATGTTTAATGAATAAAATAATTATTATTATTATTATTATTATTATTATTATTATTATTATTATTACTATTATTATTATTATTAATATTTTAAGAAGATACTTGGCTGATACCTGGAACGCTGGCAGCAACCCATATCAACCATTAGCACCAGTCAATGGTATTTGTGATGCATTTTGAATGTTCAGTTGACTGAGTTTCATGTTTGATGAATAAAGTATTAATAATAATAATAATAATATGTTAACAGCAGGCATCATTAGTGCTTGATTATGCATAGCATTTGCTACAGGTTGAAGAAATTTAAAGTTTGACCCTCTCTATTAAGCAATACACTGTAGACCAATTTGATTTGGTTAACTATTTCTTTCTGCATTTGGTAAGGTAGCACAAAATTACTATGAAAAGTGTTTCATTGTTACTTCTCTCTGTGCATTTTGCCATGAAGAAGAAACAGAGTGAATTTTTAGAGTTGGAAGCAACCACTGTCTTTATCCCTCCATGCTAAGTGTAGCCTGATACTAATGATATCTACCACTAAAAAATATTCAGTCCACAATTTCTGTTTTGAGACTAGCTTTGAAAGGCAGGTGGTTGACTCAAATATCTGGCCCAAACATCAGCTCTTCCTCATTTTCTGCTTTTTTGGTAATATCATTGATAATTAAGAACTTCAAAGCTTGTACACTAGTAACGTCCTATATGAAAGAAATACCTGACTACAAGGATTTTTGAATGGTATTCATTAACAATATATACTTGTTTGTGTATTGTGGAATCTGCTTCACTTCTTGAAAAGAGATTTAATGACTCCATTGACAATCTATTATTTTTCAGGTACTACTCCAATGTGTGAGAGTATTGCCACCCAGCTGCTGAGCTATGGTCGTCGGATACCTTTGGCAGAATGGGATGCCAGAATTTCTGTAAGTATTATTGTTTTGATGAAAGAGGAAGCTTAATTTCACTAATCTTCTTGCATTTCTTGATTATAGTTGAAACAGTAGTTATCTGCATTACTTTGCAATAATGGTGAATATCTGTAGCTCAGGTATAGGATGGGGGTGAAGGTTCGTTCTCCGAGCTTGTGAGTTGGTTTCCAAATGTTTCGTAATTAGGTTGAGTAACATCTTCAGCAGAGTTTAGGGGATGTCCATGTCAGTGTTCTGTTTATAAGAGCTTCAGGTATGGGTGTGTCAAGTGAGGGTCTTGTGGTGGGTCAGCTGTGAGTCATTAGTGAGTCTTGTGATGAGTGTAAATAAGGAGATTACATCAGGTCAGGGTCATTGGGGAGAGAAATCGGGGGGGGGGTGCATGGGTTGGTTGAGGATTTGTGCTGTCTCTGATTGGCTGTGAGGTTGATTTGGATTCTGAGGAGTTCGTAGACTGGTTTTAGGTCAATGTGTCTGTGATGGAATTGCTTGTGGAGTGCCAGGCTTTGATGAGCTCAGGAGCATGGCAGATGGTAGCATGGCCGATTATTTTTGTGTTGCTCCAATCAAACTGGTGCTGTTTAGTGTTTGCATTACTGTTTGATAATTGCTAAGACATGGCATTCTACTCAGTACTACAGTATCAAGCATGGTATGTCGGTTTTCTGCAATTCTGGAGCCTATCTTGCAACATGCAAAAATCCTTAGGAAATTTGCGGGGTTTCTCATGAAGTTCAAGGAGCTCTAATTTGTGGGGTACTGGTTTCTGATTCAGGTCATCACTGAAGGAAGTAATCTATGAAGGAGTTCTGTATTTTTGAAGAGAATATTGTATTCTTAGAAGACCCTCAAGTAGATGAGAGCAGTGTCAATTTGAGTTTTGCCAATGATGTACAGTTTTGGTTGGTAGTCAGTATATGTAATTAGCAAATTGTCTAAATTTCTTCTGAAAGTACATCTAATTTTTTTCTGTTTTCTAGGAAATTAATACCCAAATGGTTCAGGATGTCTGCAGTAAATACGTGTATGACAAATGTCCAGTTGTTGCAGGAGTTGGTAAGTTGATAGGCTTTGAATTGTGATTGCTAAGGAAGGAGGAAACAATCTATTGTCTATTTTGGTATGTTTAAAATGCTTCAGATTAACTTGCCAGATCATGCTCTGGTGATTTATGATAAAACTGAATTCAGTATAATCCCAGATCTGCATGCCACCCTTTTTACAATCCCATTCTAAGACAGCCATAATGAAATTGGACTCTTAAGAATGTTTGTGAAAATGTTATTTCTGAGATCAAATTTGTCCTATGACATGAATTATCTGCTTGTAGTTGTACCTTTCAATGTTTACCTGTCAGCCCAGGAAAGCTTTCTCTTGAAACCTGCCTGAACAGGTAGATGACTTAGAACTGCTGGTGATTTCCCCCATCATCCAGTGCAGTTGTTAAGATTCTGTCTGAAACTTTAAAGCAAAGCTCTTTGAAGGCAGTTTCCAGAGAAATAGGAGATAAAATCTTCCTCACCCTCAAATGCCAACTTTTTTCAAAATGTCTGACTTGAATTTTGATGTATTATTGAACCCAATTTATATTCAGAGGGTTTAGGCTACTTGGAAACCTTGAACAGAGAAGTATTGTTACATCTAATCTGACAACGGTTTGTAGAAAACCAGTAAAACTTCCATCTAGCTCTTCTTTTCAAGCTTATTAAGTAATGCCAGGGGTTTCTTTACAGTATCTCAAACAAATTGGTTCTTTTTTCAGGACCTGTTGAGCAACTTCTGGATTACAACTACAACCGCACTTGGACATATTTGAACCGTTACTAAGCAGTCCAGTGCAAGATGGAGATCCTCTGGATCGTCTGGATTTTCTTGTGGTCTTTTGTGTCCCAGTGGCAAAATGGATCCCATACATTCTGTATAAAAATGCTGTATAACTATGTAAGTGATATCAGAGAGCAAAATAAATTTAAACTAGTTGGTATCCAGTATTTATGTTAATGAGGGAATAAAAGTGAATTATGCTTGCAACTTGTTTGCATAGCTGCTTAGCATAGATGTTGAGTTCTTTAATAGAGAACTGCATATTTACCTTAGCCTTCCAATAACCTTAATTTAAAATGAAATACCAAAGGAGTTTTAAACAACTAGAGATATCTCTCAATTTTGCATTGGTAAATAACACCTGCTTCATTGAGCCGCTTCATTCAGGTTGGTCATGCTATCTGCCTCTAGAACTCTGTTGCATTAACTTTTTAAGACTACAGAATATTTAGCAGATGTTTCTAATGGAGAATACTTTTTTTTAATATATCTGATGTACTATCTCGACTTAGAACCATCATTAAGCCTGGCAATGTGGTCATACATTGTGACAGTCATAAACCGAGTCATTACAGGAGTGACCCAATTCTACTTTTGTTATGGTTAACACTGTTGTCATTAATCAAACACATTATTCGCTATGGCTGGCTTTTGCCTGAAACCGGAAGCAAATGCCAGATTTTGGCAAAAAATGTAAATCCCTTCACGTGACTGTGGGACACTGCAGATGGCCATAAATGTGGCCTGACTGCCCAGCACCTGAAATGCAGTCATGTGACCATGGGGGCGCAGCTGTTGGAATGCCAGAAACTGGTCATAAGTACCTTTTGGGGGAGGGGGTGTTGAAATTTCAAATGGTAGCTAAGTGACCAGTTAATTCAAGGACTATATATACATATGCCATTGGTCTGTAGCCAGAGGACCTACAGCTGTGTGCTCCTCTACTTTCAGACTCTAGCCAAAAGCAATTCCGACGAGCAACCGCGGCAGGAACCAATAGATGAAATTGGTTTGTTTTGCCCTTTTATTCAGTGGGAGGTCCCACTAAAGATTCCCCATCACATCACCCTGAAAGATTTGCATACTCTTTATGTACACCTTAGCAGGTCAATGATGGAGCAGAACTAGGCACAAGGTTCAATTATTTTTGCAAGTAGTTGCACACAGGACACCTGCAATTTGCTTGTGAAGCATGCTTTAAGAAAAACTGGAAGAGAAGGAAAGAATCCCTAGAAAGTGGGGAACGGTGGTATTTGGGTTTCTTCACATTTTTTTTTATAATGCCCTCTAATGTAATATAATTACAAGCTTCTAAGTGGGAAGAAGTACTATGTCCAAAAATGAATAACCCAGATGCTTTTCTTGGAAATAAGCATGGAATGCCTCTGCTCCACCATAATTGTGTTCTATATCACTATAGAATTTATAGATTGATATAGCAAGTTCTTCTGACTGTTGGGGGTAAATCATATAAATAAGATGTGCAATGGCTTAAATAACAATGTCTCTTGTGAAATACTAAGTAGAATTTTCAGGGAAAAAATGGGCAAATCTATTACTGATCCATATTGATTTTTTCGGATTACAATTCCATTTCCAGTATAAACTTTTTAAAAAGCCTACCCATGTTTTATTTAATTCTCCATTTGTTTGATCATTTTTTTGACCATTTGTTTTGTAGAATTTGTTTTAGATTAGCACTGCCTGACAAAGATGTTCTTTGAAGTCAAAAGGCTAGCACTGTGTAGAGTGGCAATGAACACCCTGGCAAATGTGTTTGGATGCCTTGATACATCTAGAGCTATAAAGATCAGAATTATGTAGTCAGTGGGTTTTCCCTATGACGCACTGTGGAAAAAAAGTTGGATTTCGAAGAAGCCAGGAGAAAGTTTTGATGCTTTTGAATTTTGAAAGTGGAGAAGAATCCTGAGAATACAATGGACAGCGAAGAAAGCAAAGAAATGGTTCATCAAACAAAGAAATCAAGGTTCAAATTATTCCTCTTTCCTTGCACTGGAGGGGGCTCTAATACTGCAGTGCAATGAAAGAGGGACATCCTCAATTACAGCAGCAAGCTGGGGACAGATCCAGAATATCTATATAATAAGAGTTGACTTGATGGCACATAAACATCAGGCTAGTTTAAACTGAGCCAATTTAACTATTACATGCAGAGAAATGCCAAATCTGGTGGATAACTACTGTAAGTAAAAGCTTGAGCAATGTGGAGTAGATAATTTTGTGAAATTTGCATAGGAGAATTCGCTTTTTTTGGTGGAGTTCACTGAGTGATTTTTATTTATGGTTTTTCAAATATACATGGAGGTGCATGCATTAAACCTTCAAATAGAAATAATAAAGGACAAAGTTCTACAGTCAATTTGGAATCACATTTAAAAAGCTCAAGACTGGGCTACATTGTGCTTTCTAAAACGTACATTGTGAATATGGCAAAAATAAAAATATCCACAAGATGGCAGTAGTTTAAAGAAGATGCCAGCTATGTGGCTATTCTCAAATTTCTTGATAAAAAGGTCTTTATCAAGATAAATAACAATACAATTTTTAGAAAAAGAAATAGAAGAGAGAAAAATAATAAATAAGAAAGAAAAGAAATAGGAAGAAGAAGAAAAAGTTGTAAAGTAGCAGCTTCCAAATTTAGCAGCTACAAACAGTTAGTTTAAATTGTACTTTCTAAGATTATAATATAATTTCCTTCTCTCTATAATCCACCTTTCTATAGTCCATCCCTTGTAATCATCAAACCCATAAATCACAAGTTCATTTTCTTCTTTGTTCAGCAAAAGTCCATAAGGAGTTTCTAGTCCCTAATAAATACAATGATCCTTTCTCTAATCAAGGAAGTCAATTTTGCCATCTCTGCCAATTCTGTCATTTTCATCAACTATTCCTCCATCCTGAGTATTTCAAAATCTAGTTTTGTGCACATAAACTTTGGGTTATATATTCAAGAAACTCTACTTCATTTTTAGATATTGTCCTAACAACAACTTTAGAAATAATATCCAAAGTTCCAGGAATTAGTCAGAGGGTTTTAGATTAATCCAGTATATAAACCATTTATTCTGAATCTGAATTTTTATTTACAGAATGTCTGAACATACAGGATATTACACATGTTTGAAACAAGGTTTTTGTTTGTTTGTTTTTTGTTTTTGGCTATAATTTGTAATGAAGCTGGTTACAAGCTCTGGCTTGTTGAATCTCCACTGAACTTTCAAATATAAGCTTCCATTCTACCTGAATATTTATGGGCCAATCAATTATTTCATTCACGTTTCCATTTTGCCCTCATTCTTAGCTTCTATTACAGAAACATATGTTTTAATGGATGATACTCTTTATATCTTGATCTGTAGATACAGTAAACGATCAAAGGGACATCACCCATCCTTGTTCTATTCCCTGCTGAGTATGGAACCATTTAGTAAAAATTCATTGATTACAAATTCTTTACTTATGTGCATTATATATCACATGCTATTTTGGAAGCGACTTTTAATATATTTTACAACACACACTACAATTCAAGCCTATTTACTTTATCATATGCTTTCTCTGACTTACCAAATCTACAGTAAACTTTCTCACATTCATAAATTTTGCAGTGACTACCAAAAAATAAAATTTTGGTCTGTACTACCCCTACCTTACACTGCATTTGCCAGATTTTGCTCATTCTCGCCATACACTTCTCCCAGCCATAACAACCTAAGTGACACAAATTTGTACCTACTGATTTTGGCCTTATTGCTGGGAATTACACCTAAACTTTCATTTTCTGTGATTATTTTCATCAGCTTCATTCAGTAATATCAGACCATATTCATATTTCAAACTTCCTGCATCCTGCCCTGTTTGTATACAAAACAAGTCAGTAAATCTGTGTTATTTGACATAACAATAATGCTTCATTAAAGCATATGTTTTGTAATGTCCTAAAGATGTTAATTTTGGGGAAGAAGTAGTATTAGCCTACAGAATCATCTGTCCCCTGTGGGACCCATCCTGTTAGATCTAGCAGGAGTAGCATGCTCTGGGCCCTGTCCACAAGGGAGTTCCATCTGAACAGCCTTTTCTGCTCTGGTACCCAATCCTCTGGCATTCCCCCAGAGATTAGACTTGCCTGAACCCAACTGGCCTTTTGCAAGGCATTGGGAACCCATTTTTTCCATCAAGCCTGGGGCCCTGATAGCACAAGTAAGCCTGTTTCCTGGTCATGACTGTTAAATAAGTGTTCCCAACTGATTCATTGTTATTTCTGTTGTTTTTAATTTTTGTAGCTTTTATGATGTTTCTGTTCTGTTTTTATTGTTGCTCATCTAAAATCATGCATTTGAGCCATAAACGATTAATTAATTAAGCAAATATTAATTCAGCTTTTAGACAGGGCTTAATATTTTAGACATACCGTATAATTTTCTTTTAAAATGCATAGCTGCTGCATGGAAATTGATGGCTGGACAGTGGGAAAGAATATATCTTTCATATACAATGATGGTCAATAGATGGCCCTGAATATTAACCTCTACCACCCAACGGTGGCTTTCCTACAATGTCTTTTAATGAATATTTTAGTAAGATATAAAAAAAATGATTTGATTACCGGCCTTAGTGCCTGCTAATGGTAGGGAAAGAAAACTAGTTAGCCTTTGGCAAATTGTGGCCAATATGCCCTAATGCAACCATATCCCATTTTTACCCCAAACTTGCTCACCCTGTTCTTTCAATTAGGATCTCTAATTCCGAGACTAATTTGGAAGCCAACATATTGTTTGCCATATTCCATCAACTAGTAATACATGCAACATATTGACATGCTGAGAGCATATGGAAGTAACATTAGAGGAATTCTTCTAAAAACAGCATCTATAAACTGGAATCTGAGTTAGGTGCCATAGAAGAATTGCTAAAGGTGTAGAAATGGAACTGTAATGGAATTCTGCCTGGAGCCGTACAAGGAGCTTGTAGTTTGATCATATTTTAGTGGATTGCTGAGTCACCGGGTTGCCATGTACTTGCTATGCTGGCTCAAGAACTGCCTGCCTGGAGGACATGAAAGATGAAACCAGCTGGCACAAAGCCATTGCTAAACTAGCAGCCCAGATCAGCTCTGCCATTCATTCAGGAGCAGCTTTT